ACGATACCTCACACCATTTGCAGTCTGATCAACTTGTATCTATGAAACAATCAATTTGTATGTAAAATACAAAAGTATGGCATACCACTTGACCAGCTCTACTACAGGTATATGACTGTCCAAGAATCATTATTATGACAGCACTATTGGAGCATTGGTACTACAAAAAATAGACACAGTAAATACAATTAATAGCATATAAAATTCATACAAATTAAACCCAATTACAATACATAATTATGTGGTAGAAATGCTTGTATCTTATAAATGGGATCAGATGAGGTCGATTTCTCCTGCTTCAAAATTCTTTTGCTTGTAATTTTTTGACACCTTGTTTACACCTTGAGGTGTGAAAAAGGTGTGAACAAGACTTGTAACAAAATTACAAGCAGTCTTTATGCCTATACCTCATAGCATCCAGCACTGTATTGGGCAGTGTATGTGTTTGAGCCATTAGTGATCTGCCACTTTCCAGAGTGATCCACACAACGTGACCTAGGCCCATATGTCTCTGCTGCTTCATTATTATCAGCTATTGCATGATATAAATAATTTAATAATACACTACTTATATTACTTAGGGGAATCCCTTTCCTGCATATACCTCGAGGTGCTTGCCTAATCTGTAATCAATAATGAAAAAATTATAATTTATTTACAATTTCTATACTTACGAGATCTAAATAAAATGGACAGAAGTCTGCTGCATGGAAAATTCCACCATAAAATGGGAGTCTAGGTGCTGAGTTGTTAAAATTTGCACCTGAATTAAAATACTGAAATTATAAAAGTAATTATTGTGCAATTAAAGCTTATTTTTCCACCTGATACTCTGGAGGTATCGAAATGTTAGATGCTACATATAAGTAATTATCCACAAGGTTACAAAAAGCAACTGCTGTCCTGTCTATATTGCAAGATAGGTTTTGAAGATTAGATTCATTATTAAGGAAGTCACAGAATGGAGCTATTGGTTGATTTCTGTATATTTAAATAGTCAATTCAATAGTAGCATTGGAATTACTTACTGTCTTTTCTTTGAGTCAATATATCCTCCACAAGAACCAGCAGTATATCCACATCCATCACCACGTCCCCAGACTAGTATACTTGCATTGCTGTAGTCAACTTTATACCAACTATATAATTACAATAATTCATCTTGATAAATATACAATCATTAACATACCCACTGTCTTCTAATAGTGCATAACTAAAGTTGGAGAATGCTAGGTTTTGTGATATGAAACCGGTCATAGCTTCATACTGAACAAAATATTGTATAACAAACAAGGCTACCAGTATGTGCTTACATTTAGTAATCTTTTCTCCCAGTGTGATCCAGCAGTACCACTACTACTTTGATCCTCTAACTGAACACCCTCCAAAGTATCACAATTAAAATGACGTCTTCCAACCTCCTAATTTTTGTGCATAAATACATCAGAGGGCTTAACTATTGCTACTATACATACCACAACTTTTGGAGTAACTAATTGAATGACTGTTTTGTTTGTTTGTCCGAATCTTGTTTGCCAGTCAGTTAAGTTTACCATTTTAACTGTATTTTCATCTGCTACATAATCACTATTATATTGATGCATAAATGAGCCTTTACAATACTATTTAACTAACCCATTGGCATCAGTAGGTGGGTTACCATTGGCATCTCTACGTGTCCTTGGGTTTCCATTTTCATCTCTGTACCATGGATATAAGTTATCTGAAAATCCCTGGTATAGGTAAAAAAATTTCTTATTATAGTTCCTATATGCATCATCAAGAGTATACTCTTGGTATCATGAAGAGTTGTAGGATAGTTATACCACCGGGTAATTCATATTTTCAAGTTAGCAATAGTGAATGGTTGAATGTAGTACTTACAAGTACATGGAATATTTCGTGTTTTGCAACCTGGAAAACCTCTTCGTTATCATCTATATCTGATGGGCAGAAATTAATAATTCCTGCTATTGGCCTATAATAAAATGATTATTAAGATGATTATTATGAGAACAATTCTAAATAGAAAGTTTAGTACCTGTCATATTGATCCTCCAATCGGCAGGATGAGGCATAAGCAATAGTGCCAGCACCACAAAACATACTAACTCCATATACATACAAAGCAAGATCTGTATCTTCAAGGCCAGGTCCATTACTGTAAGCCTCAACACAATTGCTACTGTCTCCATTGCACTCCACACAACGCTTTATATAAACAAAAGTTAGTTATTCAGAGTTCATTAGCTCATTATCTACATCTCAATTCAGAACTGAATGCAAGCAGTTTTGTAGAATTTTGAATAAATATTAATTATTCATATTTAATGTTAGCATGGTCTATGGAATAATCAAATGCAATAGTTACCTGTAAATGATCTGATGGTACTGGGAAAAACATACAAATAGCAGAATTATTTGAGCATCGATTAAAGCATGGCTCATTTGGGCCAGTTAGAATAAATTGAGTGTCACTATCACAAAGCCTAAAAGTGCTATCAATATCAAAGAAATGTATTCAATACTTATACCTTTGTAATCGAAGGGGAGATGGGGTCCTTCTCACTGTAAGGATCGACTCAAGATTTTCTTTTACTCGACCCATGGTAGTCTGCATGTTATGATATGATAGTGAAATTCATATAATAACATACATGCAAGTTATGATATACATGTAAAATTTTAAAGTGATAGTGCATGAAAAAGAATCTACTATCAAACCTTGACTTGCTCTTGTTTTTCCTCAGTTAATCTAAAAAAGAGCTGATATTAATAGGAATAGTAACACTCTGATTTACTATTGTTATCATTATAATTAGAGTGTTACTATTCCTAATGTATTGTGGATTGAGCATGTTTAAACATGCATGCACGAAGGCACCCACAAAATTTGCAACTGTCACTGTATAGACCTACAAGCTCAGTTGTGCTAATAAAACTTAGTGAGTCAAAAATATCACTTTTGAATATATTCAATTGTGAATAAAAACATTGCTTCAAAATTTTAATTGTTGATAAATTCAGAGGGGATGTTTTTATTTTGCTCCAACTTTACTGCTACTGGTAAGCTATTTTAAAAAGTAGTGATGCTTGACTAACATGAAATTGCCACTGAAAGTAATGTCAAACATTTGTAAGGAAAGCAACAATTGGTAGCTAAGGTAATAGTATAACACTTACACTCCAAAAATACTAAAGTTATAATGAATATTGATACGAATTGGTTGATTAAAGCCATCATCTCCTCCAACATTTTTTGTAGCTTTATCAGTAGAGTCTTCCAAGTGTGTTCGAATCAAAAACTGCATATTAATATAGTCAGTGAAATTAATAATAAAAAGAGCTGCTACTGACCTTTTCTGTTGGCAGTTTGTCATGATGACATTCGTGATAATGACTGGTAACTGTATTAGCCAGAACCAGTGACAGAATCAAGATGCAGAAGCCTGTAGGTCCCTTCATCTGAACTGACTGATAGAAGTGGTTCAGTGTCTTTAGAACAAAAGTGCATCGAATGATTTACATCATAAAAGTTGTAATAGTATAGCGGGAAATTTTGGGGGATGTAATCGTATCTACCCATACATAAATGCCAAGGTTGTAGAAAGGTTGGCACAACCTTGCTACAACATTGCAAATAACATTGCAACAAGATTGCCACAAGGTAGTAACAAGCTATTTAGAACTTGGGATTTGAAACTGTTTCAAGCTTGTCACCAGGTAGATCTAGTAAGAAGTTGTCACCTGGTAGTAAGAGGTTGTACCAAGTTTGTTACACCCTGCATGTACCAAAATAGTTATAATTATTATTTTCATAGATTGAATAAATGAGGTAACTTGGATATAAAGTAAGTCAATATAAATGAGTTAATTTTGCCTTCTTTCTTTTCTCCTGCAGTTTGCACACTTATCGTTAATGGCGTCCACCAGTGTAGTCTTTGGCACATCATACTTTAACTAGACATATATATTCTAGTCATTTTAATGAAAGAGTAAGTTACTACCGGTATACTATGTCCCAACTGAGTTTGGACCAAGAAAAACTGGAATAACTTTTTATAGGAATGTGGGATAAGAATGAAACTTTCACAGGTTCTTAGTCGCCCAATGCCGCTTCAGGATCTCAGGTCTTGGGTCTCTCAACCCTTGGGAACCCTGAGAACCGGGTTCTCCCTATAAACCCAATGGCATACCAAAGCTAACCGCAATGACGTTTTATGATGTCATAGCTTACATAAGCACATGTGGTCGAGCGCCCAAACTGATAATTCTTCTTTAAAAAGCTAATAGAGCTAGATCTTCTGATAATGATGGCCTTTATGAAGACTAGTTGACTCCAGCAGCTATTGTACTGCTTATCGGGAAGAACAAGACTATTTTAAGAGTGAAACAACACAGCCAAAATATCGGCCATGTCTCCATGAATATCATTATAACAGTCATTAGTGACGTAACTACATTTTTCAAATTCCAATGCAGCTGCTTCCACTTCCGGTCCATTCTCAGTTGGGACATAGATATAATAGAATGAGGTTGCATGCTTATACTTACTGATGCAGGCTCCCAGAATATCTTTATTAAGAGGATCATTCAAGCGAGAACCATAGTAACTAGTTTTTGCTAGCACTTCACGAGTAAAGAAGGCAGACATTAAGTTTCTGATCAGTCTCGTGGGTGATTGATTACTTTCCCCTTCCACATCATCGAGCTGTCTCTGGGTCAGCATCGCTCCATATCCAGGCACTAACTCTATTAACTGTGATTCTCTCTAAACAAAATTTACTAGTATAACTTATAATGTTTATCCTTTAATGTATTTATACCTTAATTACTAAAATATTGCTTTTATTAGTTGTACTTAACTTCCGTACACCTTCTTCAACTGGCTTTTTCCTACTAGTGGGAGTCATGTTAAAACTAGGAGGAGTCACACCAGAGCTGCAAGGAGTCTCAAGTGTATAGCCACCTGGATCTACCACATTTGAACATACTTGTGGTAATGCATGGAATGACCTAATTTCTTGGTTAGTGTCGTATTTCTCATAGTAACTGCCACTCTTAGTACATTTACTATGCTATGTATTATATCGAAATATTGTAGTAAACTTGTGGCTATGCTCCAATACAGTAGTGCATACTATTCCACGGTACTATATAGAATGTAGACACGATAAGAACTAAGCACAATATCTTATCAAATATGCAGGCACATGAAATGCCACACACACATATACATACATAAAGTGCATATACATGTAGTCTAGTATTTGTCCAGGAATTAACTACATTAAAATTCAGGAATTAAAATTTAAACATCTCCAGCAGTTCTAGATAATTCAATAATAGACACAGCCGGTTCTTTACGAACTGCATCATAATTATTATTATCAGAGCATCATCATTCAGAGCAAAGAGTAGCGGCTCTCTCTCTAACCTGTTAACAAAGATGACATCATCACAATCCTTGATGTCATAAGTAACTGAAACTGAAGATCTTGTTGCTGTAGACCTTGTGATTGCTGTAACTCTTTCTCTTGTGTCTTCTTCCTCCAATCTTTGCCTTCCATTTTGGCTAGTTTTAAGCTTTGACTTCAAAATGTAAAACAGATGAATGACACAAAGAAACACAATATAGGCAAGTGGAAAAAGTACCAATATGTACACTATGATAGTCTTGAGTACTTGGATGTCATCAAAGACAATGTTAGCAGTGTTTCCATGAAGAATACCCAATAAGACCAGATCTAGCATTAAAAGACCATCAAGTATATTGAGCCTTTTCTTACTATATGGTTGCACTAAGCAGTGAACAGTTAGGAAAAGCACAGACACTATCTGTAGGACATATATATGACCAGAGATGCCCAAATTGAATAAATTGA